TGATGTTAATTGAGCAGATACAGGAAAATTAAAAATACCTTCCCATTGCCACTTTTTGAGACAATACAATGTTTCGTTTTGGAGAAATCATCATGAACTTTTATTTTTTGATATGGCCACTTAAAAAAGTACATACTGTATTGAGTAGCATTCTTTATTACGAATACGACAATATATACGGCACACAAAAGTTGGAAACTGTTGGTTTCAACAGGATGATGCACGCGAACATAACACCTTAATGGTACGAGAATACCTATCAAAGATATTTTCCAGAAAATTTGCCCTTAATTATGGGGTTAAAAATATTTGCAGAAAAATGCGCTTAAGTGAATCGTGCGAAAGCGGCCGGTTTACCTGCACTCATTCATTATTAAATTCATTTTAAAAAAGACAAATTAAATTTGCTTCTCTTTCCTTCTCTAAGGGATTATTTATTGAAAATGGTGGCATTTATAATATGGAAACCTGGAATAACCTAAAGAGCATGTTTAATTTTTTAAGTTAGTCTTGATTGTAATCGGGAAAGAAAGAGGTAGTCGTACAGCATTTTTTGTAATAAATCAGTTGGTGAGAAATATCGTCTTTTTTAATACTGGTGTACAAATCAATGATAGTTTTGTGTAGTGCTCCGAAAACACATTTGGGATGGGCCACCCTCCCCCAATACATATTTTGTCGCTGGTATCTACGCCATCTGATACATCTGGATATGAAATTAAATTTTCAAAAAGACGGTGGAGGGGGGGGGGCAACTTAACGTTTTTAAACGTTACTTTTTTAGCGCATTTTTTAAGAATAAGGTTAAAAATTAATTTTATGTTCGACTCGATCATAATACGCTGAGTTATGACACTGTTTAGCGTCCATAATCTGCTACTTTATTGGACTAGTCCATAATGAAAAAGTAATTTGGACTCCTGTCACTGTCAATTTCTTTGGAAAATGCGTTTTAAAATTACGATCTGTTTTAAAGAAGTACACGGAACAGAATGCTATAATTTTAAGAACACATATCTATGTTATACATTTCAATAATTATTATACTAAATTAATGTTAATAACACAGTTGTTATTGTTGGTAATGTTAATTACCGATGCACCTTTTTGATGCAATATTTCGGTGGTCTCTACGGCTTTTAAATTTATGAACAAAGAATTTGCCATAACGGTTTCCGTTCCCAAAATTTTGCTGGCAACACTAATTTTAGAATTGTCAGATCTCTGTCAGAATCTCCTTTTCTTTTGAGGTAAGGAATTAGGCAGGAAAATTTGCTTATATATCCACTCCCTCATCTAAATTAATTGTCGATCGTAACATCGAGGACTTACTCCATAAAGGAGAACTTTTATAGGAGACCTATTAAAGGACGCCAATATACAGTCTTCCGTGGTGCAATTGATTTCTTCCCCCAGTAGGGGGTATTCCCTGTATGCCGCCTCGTATACAGTTTTTGATTTGCTTGGTAAAAGCATCTCTCTGGCATTGCAGGCTAATTGTTGTATACTGTTTGACCCATCAATTTCTTCTGGACTCATCTTGGGATTCATAATTAGGTACAGAGAATTAGTTAATACCCAACAAAATTGACACTACACATCAACAGATTTTTTTGCAAACAACACGTATCTATGACAACACAAAAGGCACACTATGTTATTTCTGGTTATCAAATAGTGAAATCTATACCAAATTTCAGCAAATTTTCAATACATACATGAACTACATTTTCCGAGTCGAACATAAAGCTAAGTATGTTACTCGTACATAATCAGACTTTATTATCTCGTCTTTTTTATTGGCCTCGCGCGCAAGCGCGCTCTGCCAATAAATTCGACTCGTCCAATAAAGTCATAGATTATGTACTTGTAACATAAATAGCTATTATCTGATTGTATTCTAATTAAAGGTCTCAACGAAAGAACCGTTTTCTACCAACTACTGCCCTTCTTTCTATCCTTTTATCAAATTACGGGGTGGAATACGCGCTTTATCTGCACAAGAGTTGTGCACAATTTATACTTGTTTCTATCAAGTTTCTAAATTGTACCTCTAGGTATGCCCTAAAATGCGCCGTAAAAGATATCTTTGCACCATTCTTGTTTTTTTGGTTATCTTTAAAAATATTTGGGAGGGCCCAAGTGAACGTAGCCTTCCATAACGCACTTTGCTATCGGTATCTGTGCCACTGGATACGTCTGGTTATGCATTACGTATATTTGGGCCCTCCCAAATGTATTTTTGGATTGCTAAAAAACGATAATGGCGCAAGAGTTACTATCGGTGGCGCATGTGAACGCATAACGAGCGCATTATGCTTTGTAATAGTATGACTATGACAGTCAAATCTCTAGGTGGGGGGCAAGTTAATAGGCCCCTTGCAGTCAAGTGTTGCCGTAAATTAATTTTAGGTTGTTAAACATGGTGTACGTGTGTGGGATTGGTGATTTGTCTTTGTCGATTGTTGACACAGTTATTGTCACTAGGGGTGAAAAGACGTTCATTGAGTAAGATGAAGTGTCGAAAAATCTATTTGATAAAAAATTATCAAAGTCCTCGATCGAAGGGACTTCAGCCCATTTTTGTATGGCAGATCAGTACTCTATTAGCAAGTTTTGACCCCACCATCAGTAAGATCCTCTCGGGGTCCACCACATTCCCTTTGTCGGTACCCGCTTCCGACGTCCATTCTCCCGCCAGAGTTAGACTGGGTCAAGCATAGAGTGACCCGGTGACCCAGTTAGTTTACCCAGTTGACCCGGTGACCCAGTTTGACCCGGTGACCCAACTTGACCCGGTGACCCAGCTTGACCCAGTGACCCATCTTGACCCAGCTTTACTCAGTGACCCGTCTTGACCCGGTGGCCCAGTAATTAAATTATTGTTAGGTATCATCCAAAACAATTTCAAGTAACTTTTAATTAAAAAAAAACTTCCTCAATAATATTCGCCAACAAGCACGTAGCCCAATTTCATTCAAGAGAACTAATACCTAATAAAATCAAATGCATTTGTTTGTAGTTTGTAGTCAAGTAGTCAATGAAAGTATTTAGAGAAAAGATTTATTTGGATTAAGCTAACTAGTAGAAAAAAATTAAATGTGAATGAACACCTGTAAGCAAACTGGTAAGCCCTGAAACAAAGAACTGAAGGAGGGAATTGTTTAGAAATAACATTATTCTAATACAATTCGGGACATGGAAAGTTTTTTACGGCAGTATTAAAGCAAACATCACAGAAATGGCAGTTGTCAAGCAATCGAGTATTATTTTCAACAAACCAGCATTTCATTTATTTCATATGTACACTTGAACCGAGGGCGAGGGCACTGACTTAACCGCGTTATACGATCAAACTAGGTTACTGGGTCGAATTGGGTCCCCGAGTGAGATTGGGTCGCTGGGTCAAACTGGGTCAAGTTGGGTCACTGGATCAAACTGGGTCACTGGGTCTAACTGAAAAGAGTATGACGTGACCCAGTTTAATTCAGTGACCCAGTTGACCCAGTGACCCAGTCCAACTCTGTCTCCCGCAATTCGCGTGTGTAGTTTTGTACTCCACCCTCAGTGAGATATTGTCGGGGCCACATTCCTTTTGTCGATACTTACTTCAGACGTCCCGTTAACTGGCAAATCGCATTTTGGTGGATTTCGCTTAAAATTCCCCAAATAATGGTACTCAATTTTTGGGACACTTGTCATAGCTCGAGCTTCTATTGGCGACACAAGAAAGAGAGACCGCGATTTTGCATTTAGGAAACTTTAAACCTCGTGCGTGACAAAATTCACAGGGGAAAGCATACTTTTGGGCGGCCGAAGTCGATTACCCCTCAAAGACACGCGCCTTGCAAAAAGTGGTTTACTTCGCCTCTCCGAAAAAAAAACAATATGTCGTCACGCAAGAGTTGGGCGCGTTTACACGATCTTTCCGACTACACCAATTTGAAAACAATCGTACCCAAACTATAGAAGAAGATAGAAAAACACTGCAAAATCACCACGTTAATATAACACTCGGGGATGGCGCCCAGATGTCGCTGACCCCAGATCTTGAAGCCCCGCCGTTGTTCATTATATGGCTCCGGTAGGTACACGTACAACTGTACACTCTTCCTCTTTCCGCAAGCGTTCTTTTACGGGTCTGCATTTGCTGCCAGCCAGCCAACCAGCTGGTCGAAGTGATAGATTAAAAGTTACCTTTTTACAAATAAATTTGCAAAAATACGATAAAAAAGGAGAGTTTAAAAAATATTGACTCTTCAGTAACACTAACTGCAAGTAGGAACTAAACGGAGAATGAGGTGCTGGATAAGTCGAGACGCCCACGATTGGGGTGGGGGTGGTTGCTTAGAGTTATGGGGGGTCACTTCGAAGATCCCCTTGCAGGCAGTCTTGACATTTTTCCTTAAAATGCTTAGTTTTAGAGTTATTAAGGAAAATTTCAGAGAAGGTATATTATATCCCACTTAGAGGGTGGTTTTAGGGTGATGGGCTCGACGCTGGGGTTTCAGAGGGTTTTTAGACCCTTATAACAAAGTACCTTGCCAAATTCCAGCTTGTCTCTAATTTGTTGAACGTTACACATATAAAACGATGGATAGGCCCGGTTTCTTTAATTTTTTTCCTTATAAGGTGGTTTCCTATTGGTAGGGGTGTGTCATCACAGACATATGCCACGTCTTTATGTATATCTGTGCATATGCTTACGTTGTTAATAACTGACATGTATAGTAAATAAAGTAAGTAGGTATTATCTCATACGTTTGACAGTTTACTATTCACGAATAAATTGTTGGACAGTACTTGTTCGTCGTTATTTTTCATGGCAAAAAAAAATTGCCGTTATATATAGTTCTTTTTTCGTTAGCCCAGTAACCGTTGAGAATCAGAGAATGACTTTTCGAGCTCAAATCAGCTTCTCAAAGTTATGTTCACACCTTTTGAATCACCCTATATACAATTCACGCTCGGACGTAAGGGGTAAGGTCTGAGATGTTCTGTTCTATGGTTTTATCAATAAACAAATGTCATCAGGGTTTATCTATTTATTGCGTGTGCTAAGGCAATTTCTTTACATTAATCGTGTAACCGGTAGATTACAAATCTTATATTTATTCTAACTTTAATTTTTAAATAAATGGAGATTAGAATTGAATCTAAAAATGTGTTATAACCTATACAATGACTACAAGAAAGCGCAGTGGTTCTGGTTCAAAAAGACAGTTAAAGGAAAAAGTTGTGCAGATCTACGAGTTATTTTTTCGGGGAGACGACTTATCAAAGAATAATCCATCATTTTGGGACGAATTCTTTTTACTTAAACCGAAAGTAGCGTATCTCGAAAGTGAGATACAAAAATTAACACCGGATCAATTAGGTGTTGTTCGAGACAACTTTAATTTATTATTCTGCCAATGTATAGATACACTAAATCATGATCATAATATACGAGTTGTTTATGCCATGCAAACACTGTGTGGTTTGGTTTCGTCAGTTTATAAAAAGGCAACCGCCGAAAGTGGATTTGATGTTATCCACTTACTTATGGGCTTCCAAGTTGCAGAAGAAAAAATGCAACAATTGTTAAACTTTTGTAATGCCTTTCTATCAGGTAGGTTAATTTGTGGCTAATTGGGAATAAGTATACTTAGTTCGGGTCAACTGAAAAATCCAAAGATGGGTCATTGTAAAACTTAGATAAAACTATTCATTTCAGGTGATTCCCCGGAAAGTTTGAAAAGGCTGTGCCTGAAGTTGTTATTAGTATTTGCCACAGGAACTGAAAATGTGAGCCAAAATACGCTACTTGAGTATGTTATGTTTACGTCAATGTTTGAGTGTTTGGTGCAACTGTTATGTGATACTCAGTCTCGACAGATACACGGACACGATGTTGTTATTTTACTTACGCTTTTAGTCAACTACAGAAAATATGACTCTTCCAATCCCTATATTGTAAAGTTATCGATATTAGATGACGAATTAGCATTAAATGGATATGGCCAAGTTATTACAGCCGCTTTAATGGAGTTTTGTCGACAATTCAATTTGCAACATTTGGAGGCACAGAATGCATCTTGGTTATCTTCATTAACGAACATGGTTGGGAACATGTTCATATCAGAAGAGGGTGGAGTGCGAACTCAACAGATTAGGGCGAATAACGCGTTATTATTGGCATTTTATGAAGCAATACATTTGAATAGAAATTTTATTACAACTTTAGCTCAAATACAAACGGATACGAGTTCACCACCATCTCCAATTAATACTTTGAATGCGTCTCAACCAGTGCCTGACCTTTCTTCTATTCTGGACATTATGGCCCAACCTTCAAATCTACTGGTTACATTTTTTCAGTATTGGTAAGTTGGACTATACTGCATTCATTATAAGAAGGTAGTAGATGACGCTGTGCTTGAAGATAAGTACACTCAGGAAAAAAAAATTATTGCAAAGTATAACTACCAAAATTTTTCACTGGTTTTATTTTTTGGTGTAATACTGACTTGCGTTTTAACCAATCACGGTGAAGGTCAAAGCTTTCCTATGCTTTCTACTGCTACGTTCTTAAAATGAATACAGTATAGCATTAAATTTGGTATTCTATGTAGCAGTTAATAGGTCTAAAGTTGAACTGTCAAAGTTATACCCTTTTAAATTAGAAGGAGCAAACATTTTTTTATAGTACGACTTGACCTTTAGTTCAGATAATGTAGTCCTTCATTTACTAAAAGGCGCTTCCCAACGCCATCCATAAATCAGTATGGAGTGAGACTATTGTCCAGCAACATTTTGTGTATGGGTCCGCACATTTGTCCAAAGTGCTTTTGGTAAAAGACCTCAAATTATTACAATTCTTATATCGGAGGTAAATACACAAGAGCTTGATTTTTAATCGGATAATTTTATTGTTACATGAAAATTTTGTTGCAACGGAAAAACCTAGAGATCAAAAGTGTGATAAAATCGCGACAGCTTTAGCTGGAGCGATTTTATCATGTGCTTTTGATCAAGACCTTTTTCCAGGAAGCAACAAGATTTAAGTGAATTAAAAATAAAATTATCCTGATTTAAAACCAAGATCAAGTGTATTTTAGGGAGATTAATAAAAGACAGTAATTTTTACAACCACTATGTATTTTACGTATTCCTACGCGCATTTTTATCGCTGTTAAAAGCCACCTAACTTTTTATCAGATAAAAAATGATCTGATTGGTTAGAATTTGAGACAATCACCAAGCTGATTGGTCGTATATTAATGGAGTGTATTAATCGACATAATAATAATCGCCTTTAGTTCTGAAACCTTAGACCATATAGTACATGGACTGCTATTCGCCCTATGCATTCAATGCAAAATGGGCGCTTACGGATAGAGGGCGCTGTAGTCGTGGGCATGCGAATCTCAGGGTAAACTAAAGTCGTATAAACATCACTCGGATCGCGAAAAGAGCAGCTTTATAGTAACCGCGTAGTACGGGAAGCTTTAAATATTCTTCATTATTTGCTATATACGTCCACAAATCGTTTATTGCATCAGTTGTTTACATTTCTTGATCAGTAATCAGTATACCAGTGGACTTGGCAACGTCATAGGTTAAAAAGCATTAAGTTTAGGTATAGGACACAACATGGTACATGAAAAATGTTTAGAATTTCCCGTAAAATTCCAATATGGATTGCCATGCTAAATAGAGGAACAATATGGGATGAAAAAAAGTACCCATTTCGAGGCAGAATTGAATTGTTATTGTTTTGTTTGGATGGGGCATCTCGTGGGGCATGGCTCCTCTGCATATCAATCAAAAGCTGAAATCTATGTTTTTCTGTAGTAATCTGCTAGTAGTTAGTACAATGTGTATAGTGGGAGCGGCACGTGATAAATATTGGTATCTCGATTGGTATTATTCGGCATTTCGGATTAAAATTGTGCCACTTGGAACACATGTTCCCTAGACCTATTGGAGTGATTTGAGTCGCAGAGCCGGAAGTTCCGTCCCTTAGGATTGAAAATGGCGCCAATTTTGAAAATTTCAGGAAATATGTTTTTAGAGCGATTTTTACGTTTGGGGTGACGTTTACGAGGTTTCCGTCGGCGAATATGACAAAAATAATATCCAAAGCTAATTTCTGTGTGGGAAGCATGTTTCATTTATCATATACAGGGTGGTGACTTGCGTAACGCATCATAGGGATTTCAATGTAAAATTCATAACATGCGATTATTGGCTCCCCAAATTATTAAGGTTTTTTGTAGGAAAAAATTTTTTACGTCAATCAACCCTATTAGTTTTCAATTTTTTGCATAATAAAGACGGAAAATTGGAAAATAAAACCCCCATCTTTTTCAATAATCTGTGATGCCATGGAATTTTATAATACAAAAACTACGCCAATATCCGTCATGCCATGGAATGTCCGCTTTAAAACAAATCAAATTCTATCAAAAAGTATTATATTTAGAACAGCGAATTCAACATAAAGAAAGACCAAATTACCAAAAACGGTTTCCTAATATAACAATTTACAATAAATGTTCGAATAGGTCACCATTAACTGCAATACAGTAACCAAGTCGATCATAAAAGCCATTTCGAACTGCTGCTAATTGATAACTGGATATCTTTTTGTTTTAGAAAATTCCATGGCATCGCAGATTATTGAAAAAGATGGGGGTTTTATTTTCCAATTTTCCGTCTTTATTATGCAAAAAATTGAAAACTAATAGGGTTGATTGACGTAAAAAATTTTTTCCTACAAAAAACCTTAATACATTTTTACTCTAAAATAGTTTGGGGAGCCAATAATCGCATTTTATGAATTTTACATTGAAATCCCTATGATGCGTTACGCAAGTCACCACCCTGTATAGGCCAATTTTAACGTCCGACAAGATTCAAAGGTTTTGACTGATTTTCGTAGTGTAGGTGGCGTTTCTGAGATTCTTTTGGGTAAAGATTACCAAAACAGACCCATTAAAGGCCTTTTTTATGAAATTTTTTGTATTTTGAATAAACAGATCGAGGTTAACTAAGTGCAAAACTGAAACTTATTCTATGAATACTGTTTTTTACTAAAAATGGTTGATTATTGAAACGTATTTACAAGTAAAAAGTCATCAGTCATCAAAGGGGAATGCCTCATCATCGCTCAGATCTCCTGTTGCAACTATAAAAAATATTTAGTTAAAATCATTAAAAATAAAACGCTGACAGTCATGTTTATAATAAGCATGTACACTCGGCTGCGATTTTACAGTGTTCTTGGCAGTTAGAACTCTGTAGGGTGCAGGGAAGGCTGTTTCGTAAGCATGAGCACCTAATGGTCTCACAAGTTGACTTGCAGCCGCATTTTCCTACGATTGAGAACGCTTTCCCTTTTGATGGGATACAAGTTACGCAAGAAGAGGCGGACGGGCGAATCATCCTCCATGCGAAAGATATGGTGGAGCATGGAGACCAGAACATCCTCGTCCAGTCTTGATATACTGACGTTCTGATGGTCATATATATTTTGTTTTTTTTTCTGAAAGAACTCGGACTAAAAGAAGGATATCTGTCAGGTGTTGGGGCCAAGCGTCGATATATAGCGACCCATTTGATTGTATTAGCACTTGGAGAAGAAAATTCACAAGCCCTACGAGGCTTTCATTGTTACACAGGTTGTGCCACAACGCCCTGCTTCAATTCTATTGGAAATGAGAAGGCGTTTATGACTTGGATGAAACGCCCGGACCAGCTTTATTTGAACTCTCCAATTCACAAAGAGGAATAACAGAAACAAGTTAAAAAGTAATCGTAAACGATTTACATAAAACGCATTTCCACTTGCATTCATTTCCCATTTGTAAGATGCAACTTCTATAAAATCGTAAAAATCCGGTCACAAATATGAAAGATAGCGTTGCACATGCGCAATCCATTTTTGTCGTGCTACTTCAATGTCAGTTTATGAGAAGAATTTCATTTCAATGCTTTTCTAAATAAGAAAGTTGGAACTGCGCATGCGCAAACCTAAATTTTGATACTAATGTTAGATTTTCCTTTGTTCCAAGCGCCTAAATATCAAATTTCACTTAAATGCTTCCATAGATAAAAAGGTTGGCACTGCGCATGCGCAAAATAAAATTTTGAAACTGGCGCTAGATTTTCCTTTATTTCAAGTGCCTATGTATCAAATTTCATTTAAATTCTTCCATAAATAAAACAGTTGGCACTGCGCATGCGCAAAACAAATTTTGAAATTGGCAGTTGATTTTCCTTTATTCCAAGTGCCTATGTATCAAATTTCATTCAAATTCTTCCATAAATAAAACAGTTGGCACTGCGCATCGCAAAACCAAATTTTGAAATTGGCGTTTGATTTTCCTTTATCCCAAGTGCCTATGTATCAAATTTCGTTTAAATTCTTCCATAAATAAAAAAGTTGGCACTGCGCATGCGCAAAACCAAATTTTGAAATTGGCGTTTGATTTTCCTTTATTCCAAGTGCCTATGTATCAAATTTCATTCAAATACTTTTATAAGTAAAAAAGTTTGCAATTCGGTTTATAAATGGTCGAGATGCGAAAAGGGCACTGTGAATTTTGAATCGATTCGATTCAACTTTTGGCATTGCGTATTATATGGCTAAAGCTATGCCCATATTGAATTTCATGCAATTCAGTTCATAACTAACGGAGATGTAAAAGCGATCGAACATTTCTAAACAAAGTTATCGTTCACACGGACAGATAGATGGACAGACAGACAAAGGAACAGACGGACAGACCAACAGGCAGACGACAGATAGCAATGCAAAATTATAAACGATCTCTAGGATCGTTAATAAACGGCAAAAGTGTAAAATTATGGAACATGTAAAAAACGGTTTTTTGTTTTTTTTTACAATAACTTTTTTTGTAAGCGGTACAGAAAAAATTCCTTCCTTGGTACAAGACTCGACACCATAACGAACCAAATAGCGAAAAAAGTAGAACAATAGCTCTTAAGATAAAGAACTAGTAGCGTCGCAAAACGAGCGGACGGACGGACAAAGTGGCCACAATAGCGCATTTTTTTTAATTTTTGTGGAAATGCGCTAAAAACAATTAAAACTTTGGAAGAATTTACTACCGTTTTCTATGACCCCGAAGCACAGGAGAAATCCACTACTAATGTGGGAAAATATTTATTTTGTACCAAAAATAAATTACTGCAGTTCCTGTCCCCAATCAAGCAGGTCATGTATTGTGGGGGCACTGCTTCTATCCTACTGAATGCCCCCCACATCCGTAAACTTGGGGATGGGCACGAGGCAAAGTGGGCTGGGAACCAAACTGGACCAAAGAGGTGTAAATATGGAAGGAGCTCACAATCCTAGGAAAATGCGGCTGCAAATGAACTTGTGAGACCATGAGGTGCTCATGCTTGCGAAACAAGCTTCCCTGGACCTTACAGTGTTCTAACTGTCAAGAACACTGCCAGTCAAGTATATGTACATGCTTATTATAAACATGACTGTCAGAGTTTGATTTTTAATGATCTTAACTAAATATTTTTTTATATCTCGACTGCAACAGGAGATCTGAGCGATGATGAGGCATTCCCCTTTGAAGACTTATGACTTTTTACTTGTAAATACGTTTCAATAATCAACAATTTTTAGTTAAAAACCAAATTCAATGAATAAGTTCCACCTTTGCACCTAGTTTACCTCGACCTGTTTATTCAAAATACTAATAATAAAAAGAGCTATTTGTATATTAAGAGCGCAAAATGATATATTGTCGATTGAAAGAGACATTTGCCGCGCTAATCTCTTGAAATCAACAATCAATTTGCGCTCGAATTTCCAAAAATTTAAATTTTTCACTCAAATATAAATTATTATTTTAATCTTATGGCCAAATGAAAGATGTCTATTACTCGTTGTCATTGGGTACTCTGAGCAATGCATATTTGATTTATAGTTTATAATTTGGGGAGCGAGCGTTTTTTTATTGACATTCCTCAAAAAATATGACGTTTGCGTTGTCAAATAGGAGCGCAAATGCCTACTTTGGATATCGATTGTAGAAAAAGGTCTTTAATGGGTCTTTTTTGGTCATCTTCACCCAAAAGAATCTCAAAAACGTCCCCTCAACCACGAAAATCGGTCAAACTTTCCAAGAAACTTTCGAATCCTGTCGAACGTTAAAAATATCATACAATCATGCTTTGTACACAGAAATTAGCTTCGGATATTGTTTTTGTCGTTTTCACCCTCGGAAACCTCGTAAACGACACCCTAAACGTAAAAATCGCTCTAAAAATAGATTTTTCCTGAAATTCGCCTCAATTTTGAAAATTGGCGCCATTTTCAACCCTAAGGGGCGGAACTTCCGGCTCTGCGACTCAAATCACTCAAATAGGTCTAGGGAACATGTGTTCCAAGTGGCACAATTTTAATACGAAATGCCGTTTGTTCTCACGGGCCGCTCCCACTAGTATAACAACACAAATTATATATTATTATTATATTAAAATATTGCTGGTCACCAGTGCCGTGCTGTATCTCAGTGACATATTTTTTTTATTGATTTTTGGTCTTTATTTTTAAGTGGGCGGGGTTTCAGCAAAGGCTCCTCTACCAACGCAACCCACTATACATTTACAAATATCCATGCCCAACCCGGATTCGAACAAGGGCCCCGTAGTGCCGCACACCGCTGCGCCACACAGGCCGACCAGTATCATATTTTATTGAAGAATTGGAAAGCACTTCTTTTATTATGTAACATATTATACCGCTAACTTTAACGATTTCACCGATTTTAACCGATTTTATTAATAACCCCATTGAAACAAGTGAATATCCTGATGTAGTAAAACAGTTCTAATAAATAAAAGAGGCGCTACAGATGACATCTCCAATTACTGCCCTATTTGTGTCCTCAGTACCTTCTCAAACATTTTTGAGTCTATTGGGACTGATAAAATACAAAATTGTACTAGAATAATTAGGAGAACACACTATCAACATGGATTTAGAAAAAATCGTAACACTTACAGGTCACGTCCTGTTTGCAACTACAAAATTATTTTTTCTATTTCGGTGTCACAATGATGATTTTGTACAACTGTTTTCGGCCTAAAACAGTTGTACAAAGACAGTGATTATAGTCGTTTTCTTTGGTAACTCATCTCTTAAGTTGGCAGTTACTAGTTAGTACAAGTAGGTACTTCGTTGGGTACTTCCATGTTTGAACTTCAAAAGGTCAGTCTTACTACGCTGCCAACCTAAAACTTAACGGCATAAAAAGTGTTCCCAACATAAAACATGTTAGTTCTAATGTTCCCTATAGTTTCTGATAATGATTTTTTTAATTAAATTAAAACACCGAAATAGAAAAAATAGTATGAAAAACGCGTGTTACAATGCTTTATTGTAATACTCCTATCTTGCGGACACTCGTATCGCATTAAGGTCGCATTGTAACACTTGTCTTTCAATATACTATTGCCATGAATTTCGTGTGTGAGCATGCGCATTTACCAAAACCAGGGGCCACATCTTCACCAATAGGTGTAAACAAGACTGTCATAACCTATTTTTTTAAGGCAAGGGCCGTATTTACTATTTTACGTTTAAAATGAATAGTACAAATTTAATAATAACAGCTGCTGCAGTGGTCGATTTTGCAATTATTTCTTTACTGCTAAGAAAAAAAGTAAAAGCTAAAAAAGACAACGAAAAATGTGGAGTAAAAAATGGTTAGAACAACGAAGAGGCAAAGGAGTATTAAACAAATAAACCTCGAAATAAACATAACCACAAATTTCACAATTCGTTCATGGCTATCATCGCATTGCGCTCACTAGCGCGCAGATTTCGTATAAAATAACCGAATTTTTAGAACAAGTTTTAAAAAAATTTGCATACAAAAAATTTTGTACAAAATTTCACACAAACTAGCGAGAAATTGTGTTTGCAGCGACACTAAATAATTTGTCAAAAGTTTTGTCTAAAATTTTGTATAAAATTTAGCGTCGTATCATACTGGCGTACTTATTCAATGGTAGAATACACTCAATATGTGCTCAAGGAAATGGAAAAAATCTTGCTCATTCATTTCATATGCTAGAGGTAAGGTTTGTTTCCGATAAGTTGGAAAGCCTATGACTAAGAGGTAATGTCAAGAAGTGGTTGGTACCCTATCTCACGAAACGTAGAATTCAGGTGAAGATTGGGAACACCAAATCAAAAATATTCCCTGTAGAACATGGCATTTCGCAGGGAAGTATTTTGGGGCCCTTGATATTCCTCTAATGTGTGGCTGGCTGTATAGTTGTATAATGAACTGCTGCTTAACATAACAAATGCAACAGGCAACATTATTTAAAAAAATTCTTTTAGATAGCGATTTACAGTACCTATTTCAGAATTTGTTAGTAATTGTCATTATTTATTATTATATACAGTATGTCTACTTAAGTTGGTAACATGTGGGAAACCTTTTTATTATTAATTTTACGAAAAACAGTATTCGTCATAAAAATTTCTGCATGTTCTTAAATCTAAAATACAATCATCAAATATTAAATTTTTTCAGTCGTATACGCGGTTTGTCAAATAATATTGTAACGTAAATTTAATTACCTACTTTATTTATTTACGATTAATTAACAATAAATTTATAACAGTCTTAAAACGAATTGATTTATAAGAGGTAAAATATTATTTATCACTCACGAATACACAATTTATAACAGCGCAAACGATTTATTACCTCAGCGTCAAAATTGGAACTGTCCTAAAACGCATATCGATTTGCTTATATAGCAAACTCGAATGTTCTCGACTGTTGCCCAACATTATAGAACAACACGTTATATGTCCCGAAAAGATGGCGTCAAATCCGCCTTCCTTCTTTATCGCCGATGTCTTTCACAGTGAATTTCTGGAATTTTCACTACAGTATGAATGTTACTAAAGAATTATTGAAGATATTGGAAACAGTTAATCAGAACTAAAAATTACCTTCAAATATTCAACTACATCCAATTGCATCGAAAATTTCTTTTTTTGCCCATAATATCGATGCAAATTTAGATACGTGTTGTAAAAGAAATTGTCTTCCAGAAGGATGTACAGGCCGCGCGCTATAGCATGGCGAATAACGGGGCAGACCGAATATGACATCGGTAACTGCCGGGAAAACTTGTCGATGGGGATTTCTATTTCAGTGAAGTTCAGTTGAGTGTATCTTACTATATGATAGTATCATGCTTGTTATCATGACTACTGCACTGGAAACATTCAAGTAAACCGCGCAAACTCGTTCACTGCGCATCTAAAGCTCTCGCCATGTTATAGCGCGCGGCCTATAAGTGCAAATTAAACTGAAGTACTGCATAATTTGAACTATTTGGGCTGTCAAATAACAAATTCATTTCAGGTAAGTTCTCTTACTCAATTAAGTTACATTTTTTAAATGGGCTATTCTATATTTTGTAATGTATAAAATTAATTTTTATTATTGTAAAATATGAGAACGACGTGGCGTAAAATTTATTTTGAAAAATAGTGGACTTTAAAAGTCGTTTTTTTTCAAAAATGCGCATTCACGATCAGTTTGTAGCTTGAGAGGTAGATCTTTTCTAAGGTTTTTTTAAATTTGTTTACTCTGTTGCTCAGTTTTCATGAAGTCAATATGTGAACACACATAGTTTAGATTTCTTTATATTTTCTTCATATTCATATTCAGCAATAGTGCCAAACATTGATTGTTGATTCAGCATTGATATCTTTTCAGCTCAATTGTGATGCAAGATACTAAAACGGAAGCTGGTGCCAATACAGTGAAGTTGTGTCTTCTAATATTGAGCTGCATTGCCGAGGACCAATACGCAAATTCAATTATGCATGATATTAGTCTTACGTTTAAAGTGCACTTGCATAAATTGCCTATGCGACATAGAAAACCATCTACCGATCGCACTACATCATCACAACCATTAGCTTCAACCTTACTAGGTGAGTATTAAGCACACGAATACCGGACCGCCATTAAGTGGCTACCAAGGAAGTAATGGGTCAATAAGTTATAGCGAAAACACACTTACTTTTGTGTAAGAAATGTAATACTTTTGGTATTTTTTTTATTCCTTCTTTTGTATGCCCATTCAAGTCTGATTCCTGCTTCTAGGACACAAACTTGAAGTGGCGCAAAGATGCCCAGAATATTAACGTATATTCCACTGGTTTGGATAGTAAACAAATTGTACAAAATACTAATTTCATCCCTTGATGATGTATGCTTGAAGATTTTGGTCCTACTACTAATACTAACCTAAGACCCCTAAAATGTTTCTATGTTACACGCTACTTAGAATTGCTGCACTGTGTGTGTGTGTGTGATAGAGAAGGACGCAGGGTAACCGCTGATTGTGGTGTACAAATCGATGTGAAAGAGCGCGCATGCATTCTCTCCATGTGATAGAAGCAGACAGAAATATTAATTACATTAATTTAAATTAAGGGTACTCTGGACTTAATTTCTTTGGGCAACCCATTTCCAATTTGTTTACATATTAAGATTACTAAAAAATGCATTTCACTCGAAAAACAGAAGGGCGAAGGTTGACCTTATGTGGGATCTTAGACTACAAGGTTTAAGCACAGCTTACTATCCAGCTGCACAACTCTCTTGGCCGGAGCGGTTTGCGCCGATCTACGCGCGCAGCGCTTATGCCCCGCCTCTTGGGGTAAAAGACTGCATTGCCTGTTTGGCGTGTAATCAAGCCCAGTGTTGCCACGTTGACCATTTTCCCGAATGGATTTATTTCTGATCCACAAAGTACATTAAAAATCAAAAGACCCGTGTGTCCTCAATTTTTATTTGCGAGTAAAATAAACCCAAAATAAATTATTGAAAAGCTGTGTTTTTAGTCCGAATTTGAAACGCTTCAGACTAAATACGTCACAAACCTACAACCAATCACGTAGAAGTGAGCTGGCAACCTTACGCGAGGGTCTGACGTTTGTCACATTTGACGTTTTGAGAGGGATGTTTAACTGCATCTAGCACGAAAGTGACAAGTGCCTGTGACAGATGACGCAAGTTATAAATGCCATTCTCCTGCAATATTGCCAAGTCGTTATGTCATCTGAATGGTTCTAGGAGCTGATTGGTCGGGCTTATTACGTCACAGAGCCCGCCACAATCATATCGTTTTGAATAAACCTTTAAAACCGCACATGTTCATTATTTTTTTGCTAATCAGCCTCTATTTTTAAATAAACTTTTACTGTCCAAAAAAATGTTTTAGGGTTTCAGGTATACGCTTATTAAATTAGAACTGCGGAATTCAACTATACTGTAAACCCCCATTCAATTCAATTAGGCAATAAAATTTAACACCTTACCCTACTTTCATTGCAATATTATGTAATATTGTACAGCAAATTCTAAACGTTCACATTACAATCAAGATAGTCTTTGTTACAATACAGCACAAAATTACGGTACTGTGAAGCTACCGTGCGATGAAAATTCGTTTAATCTCTCCCCCGACTTTTACCCCAAGCGCGAGAAAGTGCGCACCATTCCATCTCGCTTGGTTGTAGACCGCCAGATCAAAGGCGCCGCTCGAGAGTTGCGGAGCTGGATAGTAAGTAAGCTGTGGTTTAAGGCTTTGCGTCACTTGACCCGGAAATATTATGTAACGAAAGGGAATCCTTTAACACACATTCTTAGATTGTTCTCTTTTTAATTTTCAGATTTACTTGTGGAATTTGTTATGAGTCATATGATGAAGAAACTGCCCATGGAGCTGTATCTGTTATGCCTAGGTGTAATCCATCGGATATTGTGTTATCAAAAAAAGTGCCGAATAAGAATTAATTATCCTTGGAAGGACTTGTGGGCAGCATTAATCACTCTCTTACGTTTCCTTGTTCAGCATGAGAGCAATCTTTCCAAAAAAATGAATATATTTGATTTATCGTTGCAAGTGACGAACATTTTCAATTTATTTATTACATACGGAGATACATTTTTACCGACACCTGGTAGTTACGATGAGTTATATTACGAAATAATTCGTATGCACCAGGTGTTTGATAATGTGTACTCCATGGGCTTGAGATATGCAACGGGCGATGGAGAGTTTAAAGACAATGCCCAGAAATTAAATAATAATTTGATAAACATTCGCGCAATCATAAAACATTTTTCGCCAAAAATTGAACAATGGTTAACTTCACAAAGCTTATCAACTCCGACTGAAGATCAAATTTTAGATGTCGTTAAGAAAAATTATGATAGTCTGACCCTCAAACTTCAAGATTCTTTGGACCAATATGATAGATACTCCGAGAAGCCTAAGCATACAACGTTTTTCATTAGCATGTTACGAACTGTTGTAAATGACACCCGATTAAATATTGATTTTGCATCTGTAAATCTTAATCTTATATTGCAAGATTTTTCCTCGATATCGTGAATGAAATTAATTCCTAGATGTAAATTTAAATTTGTATACCTAATTTAGTTTTTGCGGAATTATTATTACATGAGAGCTTTAATTTTCATAATAAATATATCATGTATTTAGAGATAAATTATCTTTTGCCCCCTTTCCCTTTTTGTTTCCCGACTTCTTAATAAACAACATTTACTATTGTATGTATTATGATATGGTCAGTTACCTGCTGCAATCTGATAGATAACTTTCTATGTGAATACATTTATTTACATGAAGAGTAACCGCCAAATAAGTATAATTGAGGCATGAAAAACCTGAATATGTAAAACTCTTTGTCCTATACAATTATACAAAGTTGCAGACCGGTTGACCTCATTTTTATGGTTGGTGTCATACAAGTGCTTCAACTTACACCACGGCTTATAATCATTTGACACTATGTTCGGATGATGCTAGTGTAGGTATTGGCAACTCAATAGTACTTGCTCGCAGTTTTGTATTCCGACTGTCAAGTGTCAGTTGAGTAAGTTGACATCATGTAACATGGTAAATGGGGAGTGAATCCCTATGCGAAACTTCTGGTTTCCTTCTACTCAATCCCAAACATACGCCATGTTTGTTTGAATCCGGCAGATGCGAAGTTTGTTCCTTGTTCAGGAGAGTTTTGGGTGCCCCGTGGCGTGGTAAGCTAATAGTGGGGCGACGGTCTATGCTGAATAAATATTCCGAAAAAACATTTAGAAAATCAATTGCTTCCGTAAATGTTGCTATTATTGTTTAAACAATGTAAATAATTATTAACTACCACTGCGGGAGACACCGTTGATACTAAATTTTCAACCCAAGTGCATAAAAACAGCCGATTCAATTTTGACGTTTTCGTCAAATGTTTTGCTTAGAAGCATCTTGACTCAATCGGCCACGTAACAAAATCACGAAGGATTTTGGGTGGAAAATTGACGAGAAGTACTTCATCTTGGCAAAACAATTTGACGAAAAACGATAAAATTTAATTAGGATATTTTTACGCACGCGGGATATTCGGCATGATTATTTCCTGAATAAATATTCACAGCGGTTTCAACATTTACAAAAGAATTTGCAACAAAACTGGACATCGCACAAGAGATAAGTGCATAATTGAAATTAACGCATTAGGTAGACTTGTTCGCAGTTTGGTATCTAAGCAACAGCAAGCACGCGCGCTATAGTGGAATCGACCGCATCCACCTTTTTGCCGGTAATTAATCTCATTTTACCACTAATATTGTAATAACACCCAAATATCATTATTTAACACTATACACATAATAGCTATTAGGGCACATAAAAATTGAACATCAAGAAAACTATGGTACATAATTTTTTCATATTTCACTCCTAACCATGAGACGTACCCCTTGAATACAAAGAGTATTTGTAGGAATCCCAAGGTAAAAAGAATAATAGGGTAGAATCGATCGCGGTTGACCAAAACTCGTGGGTAAGTAGCGAACCACTGCTACATAAATCATACAGAGTGGTTTATAGCTTGCCAATACGGGTGTATAGGAAGGCATATCTAAACCCAAGATCCCATTGGTAGAGGTACCACACCACACTAACAATAAGAAAATTCGAAAAGTGCTGTCTTTTCCACACTATAGGCGTGTATTGAATGGTTAACATTTTTTGGCGACCGTGACAGGACTGAGGTGAATTGTAATATCTAAATACTCTGTAATAGCGTAAAAACACCACCAAGCACAAAAAAGTACTTCGGTTGATGTATAACAATGTCACTTAATGAATTAGACATTTTATTAAACAAACAACCGGTAGGTAATATATGAAGAAGTGGAAGGGTTTTGGGAGTGCTTTAAACTCAAAATTGAAGACCTTGTCACGATCAACTCTTGAGATTTACAGCTTTCTTAGAAAGTGACACTCCAAAGTCTTTAATCACAGAAATGGAGCAGGTAGTGTGACGTGTACCTATACCAAAAATGTTACTACTTACAAGATAAAGATTGAAAAGCTGTTTGACTCCGTAGAGCAGGTTGGGCCTGTCTCAAGTGTTAGTCAAGTAGGTTCGAAGATGACTCCAGGCATTAGACATTAAACCGTACGACGGTAATATATAAAAGATGGGTTGCCTTTCTGGGCTAAATTACGAAAAATTCATTCAAATCCTGCTTTAGACAATTGCGATAAAATAGATAACTTAGTGCAAGCTGCATCATAACAAAACTGACTTAACATTAACAATTAAAATTAAGTATATTGTATCAGTTTTACGGAGATATTTCCGTTACAGTTACTAGCAGAAAAAGTAACTAATGTAGTTCAATAATTGTGACGGTTCCCATTTACGAATAATAAGTAACTTACCTTCTTAAAACAAATTTGGTATTCCCAATTCTTGTCTTGATAAATTTGCTAACAGTTTTGCTGAAATTAAATGAGCCTCAGATAAACTTCTTAAATATGTATTTATTAAAACCCATACTGTACACAATTTGCAAATAAGAACACAAATTTACAAATATAACCAACTATTATACACATCTCAATATTGTCTTTAATAAACTTAATTTAAACAAGCACACTATAACATAAATAGCATGACGCGACACGATATATTACATGTAAGATGTGACAATTAAGAATTACTTATCCATATAACTTATACTAAACCTTCGGTACCATCATAATTATTATATAGCATGTGTGAGTCTTCAGATAAGATATTTACACCGTTCAGCTTCTCGTTGATATCCCAAGATGTAGTGTGACAGTAACGCAAACAGTAATTTTATTGCTGGAAAAGACATGAATATGTCAATGGAGTATTCGATTTAATGACATTCTATATAGTTAAAGCAGCAGATAGCAAATATTAAATTACATAAAGAAAATTTAAAATAAAATACATACCAAACTAATGAATGAAAGCAAAAGGTTAACGATGCACAGGCTCTTTATTCTGCATGTAATATTGAACCTCCCTCGATAAGGAACTAGCAGAACTCGATCTAGATATCTACCCACAACCATAATAGATGTAGTAAGCCCACATATTATTTTATAATGTGCTTTTTGTATGGCAAAGACATACTAAATCACGTTTGCTGTGCCAACAAAAATATAAGAATAAGAAATATTTGCAATGAGGCATGCAGAATAAATGATTTACAGGTAAAAAATGTTTGAACAAATAGTAAAATGTGCATATGATTGAAGATTTATCTCACAGTTTATAAAATTCAATTTTAATGTTCGTTTATGAAAAGATTGTAAGTCAACAATAGGATAAAATGGTATATCGTACTGAACACCTCTATAAGACTTGTGAATTCAAAAACAATTGAGCATTTAGGACCCCTGCAAAAACAGCATGTTATTATTAACTGAAGTGTAATGATTAACCAAAATTGACCTGTTTTCATTATCAAATAGAACTTGACATGTGTTTTATAGAATGTTTTAGTGTCAACATCTTATACATAGTTCATCCTCTGAAAAAGTAAAAGAAAACTAAACTGTTTAAATAACGTCACCGTGACAAGGAGGAACTTACTACAAGTGGACACAATATGCTACTTAACAATCCAAAGACAATAACGTCATTCTTAATGGATCAAATGGAAAGTCCTACTGAAATGAACAATGACATGAAATAATTCTCCTTTGGGAAATTTAAGTCTTCATATACTAATGAACTTTAAAGAAATGATAGTATTTTAATTGAGCGACTAAAATATTATAGTAGGAGAGCTAGTCGCACACTTTTTTAAACAGTTTTATTATTGTTGATATTTGGATATAAGATAGTTATGTATATACTAATAACATATCCGAGCATCTGGCAGCAATTTCGCGCGGTGGTGGTGGGTGGTCGAAGATTTTCAAAATTCAAACAGTTTTATTGGTAATGAAGCATGTTTTATTTTATTTATATGAATGTACTGAAATGATAAATAATTGTGTAAGATGATTTTTGACTGGCAACACCTACAAAGAGGATTGTTGGTCCGGCAAATTAACGAAAATAATTTAAAACTAATGCATAAAAAAGGTTCATTAATAATAAAACTGTTTGAGTTTTCAAATTTTTAATCCTCTTCGACTACCTATCGAAGCCGCGCGAAATGCCGAACGCTAGGATATGTTATTAACATATACATAACTATCTTATATCCAAATATCAACAATAATAAAACTGTTTAAAAAAGTGTGCGACTAGCTCTCCTACTATAATATTTTAGTCGCTCAATTAAAATACTATCATTTCTTTAAAGTTCATTAGTATATGAAGACTTAAATTTCCCAAAGGAGAATTATTTCATGTCATTGTTCATTTCAGTAGGACTTTCCATTTGATCCATTAAGAATGACGTTATTGTCTTTGGATTGTTAAGTAGCATATTGTGTCCACTTGTAGTAAGTTCCTCCTTGTCACGGTGACGTTATTTAAACAGTTTAGTTTTCTTTTACTTTTTCAGAGGATGAACTATGTATAAGATGTTGACACTAAAACATTCTATAAAACACATGTCAAGTTCTATTTGATAATGAAAACAGGTCAATTTTGGTTAATCATTACACTTCAGTTAATAATAACATGCTGTTTTTGCAGGGGTCCTAAATGCTCAATTGTTTTTGAATTCACAAGTCTTATAGAGGTGTTCAGTACGATATACCATTTTATCCTATTGTTGACTTACAATCTTTTCATAAACGAACATTAAAATTGAATTTTATAAACTGTGAGATAAATCTTCAATCATATGCACATTTTACTATTTGTTCAAACATTTTTTACCTGTAAATCATTTATTCTGCATGCCTCATTGCAAATATTTCTTATTCTTATATTTTTGTTGGCACAGCAAACGTGATTTAGTATGTCTTTGCCATACAAAAAGCACATTATAAAATAATATGTGGGCTTACTACATCTATTATGGTTGTGGGTAGATATCTAGATCGAGTTCTGCTAGTTCCTTATCGAGGGAGGTTCAATATTACATGCAGAATAAAGAGCCTGTGCATCGTTAACCTTTTGCTTTCATTCATTAGTTTGGTATGTATTTTATTTTAAATTTTCTTTATGTAATTTAATATTTGCTATCTGCTGCTTTAACTATATAGAATGTCATTAAATCGAATACTCCATTGACATATTCATGTCTTTTCCAGCAATAAAATTACTGTTTGCGTTACTGTCACACTACATCTTGGGATATCAACGAGAAGCTGAACGGTGTAAATATCTTATCTGAAGACTCACACATGCTATATAATAATTATGATGGTACCGAAGGTTTAGTATAAGTTATATGGATAAGTAATTCTTAATTGTCACATCTTACATGTAATATATCGTGTCGCGTCATGCTATTTATGTTATAGTGTGCTTGTTTAAATTAAGTTTATTAAAGACAATATTGAGATGTGTATAATAGTTGGTTATATTTGTAAATTTGTGTTCTTATTTGCAAATTGTGTACAGTATGGGTTTTAATAAATACATATTTAAGAAGTTTATCTGAGGCTCATTTAATTTCAGCAAAACTGTTAGCAAATTTATCAAGACAAGAATTGGGAATACCAAATTTGTTTTAAGAAGGTAAGTTACTTATTATTCGTAAATGGGAACCGTCACAATTATTGAACTACATTAGTTACTTTTTCTGCTAGTAACTGTAACGGAAATATCTCCGTAAAACTGATACAATATACTTAATTTTAATTGTTAATGTTAAGTCAGTTTTGTTATGATGCAGCTTGCACTAAGTTATCTATTTTATCGCAATTGTCTAAAGCA